TGCAATTTTTGGTAAACTGGTTTCATCACTATTTTGGTTGCTTTGTCCATTTAACTCATTAAACTAATCTCAATCATTTCTTCTTTTAATTCCTAATTATAAAATAATTTAGTTTAGTCTATATAAAGTTAATTAATTGTTTCTCATAACTTAGCTGAGTTAGCATTTGTAAATTTTCAAAATGATATGAATACTTCTGAATAGGTTTTTTTAAAAATTAAAAAAAAAATTATATATATTTTCTGGATAATAAATATATAAAATTTTTATAATTAAAAAATTAAAAGCCAGGTGGTCAGGTTATTTTTAAATTTATATATTATGAGAAATGATTAATTAACTTTGTATGGCCTTATATAAAAGGTATGTGAAATATTTAAATAATAATATTGAATAGTAATATATATACTTATATAAGAACTAAATAACAAATTCTTAAATCTAGGATTAAGTAAGGATGCATACATTCCATATTTATGTGGACTTGACCATCGGCGAGACAAATCAGATAAGATAACATCTTTTAGCTCATTTATAATATCCAATTCACTAATTGTATTATTTAAGCAGTAAATTAATTCTTCAATTGTAGAAACCATAATACTTAATGTAGCATAAGTTGATCTGGAAAGAATTTTAGTAGCTTTGTGAAATGGATATAAAAAGTCGACAAGAGCTCTTACAGTGTTATATTCTTTATTTAATAATAATTTATCTCGAATATTAGCACCATCATGATGATAATCAGTATTAGTTGAATTTTCAAGATCATTAGTTAACCACTTAATTGGTCGTTCAAGTTCTGCAAGTCTTTCAAGAGCCATATATGTAGAATTCCATCTGGTTTCTATGTCTTTTATTACATCAACTATGTTAGCTTCTAATATACCTACTCTTAATGAGTTTCTCTTAATTGCTTTATTTTTTTTTCTTCACTCATAAGTGAAATTAATGTTTTACATTTTATAATTAAATCACTAGCAACCTCCAAACTCGCATTAATACTTAACTGCAAAGTATGCGTAGCACAGAAGATATTTGCAATTGGCTTTGATACTGGAAGGCTTGTTGAGAGTTTTGTAATAGCTGCTTTGACATTATTACCATTATCTGTTGTGATACTCAATATTTTATTTTTTTCTATACCAAATTCTTTAAACATAGGCTTAAGAGACTCAACGATATCATTTCAGTTTTATATATATCTAATTCAATTACATCTAATATAAGTTTATATATATGAAATTTATCCGAAATCCAATGGCAAGTTATACCTAGATAAGAGTTATGTGCACGAGATGTCCATAAATCAAATGTAAGTGATACTAAGCCTGTATAAGTATGAAGCATTTGTTTAATAGTTTGAGTTGTATAATAATATCCATCGGCTACTTCATTTTTAATAGTATTAATACAAGGTGGTTGATACTGGGGATCAAAAGAATATAAAAGAGTACGAAAATGTTTATTTTTAATTAAAGATAAAGGAAGTATATAGGAAATAAAAAATATAATAATTTCTCATATAAGCTTTTGTTGTTTTTAAGCTGAATGGGGTTTTACTAAAACTTTTTCTAGTGTTTGTTGAGAAGATTTTTTAAGATCTTCAACTGTTTTATTTTCAAGTGAAGTTTTTGTTATATGATGAATGTCACGAAGATGCTTTATCATATTAGTTATAGAGCTGTGCTATACATATTCAGTTGTATAATCTGCAACTTTACATCTGAGTTTGGTTATAGGCTTATCTTCAGGACAAATTCCAGGTTTTTCATAATGTTCAAAAAAGTTTTTAATAAAATGGTCTTTATTGACAGCAAGTTTAACTTTTTTAACATTATAACTTTCAGTATTTTCATTGATAAAAGATTGAAGTGATTAAGAACACGAAGCCAAAGTATCATTATCTTGATCAAAAGAATATGAATTATCAGAAGTTAGATTATAATTAGAGAATTCAAGATCATAATCATCATCTATTGAAAGCAAAGATTAAGACAAAAATAAAGAATCAAGATAAGAAAATTATATCAGTTTAATTTATTTTAACTTCCAGGTCTTTTGTAAATAACACTTATTTATATAATTGCTATCGAATGATATATAGTTCAAAATGCAAAACTTTATTAGAAAAGCTGTATATGAAAAAATAGTAATAGCAATATGTAGGAGCATATATTTCTATATATATCTGATATAGTTCTATATGATCTACTTTAACAACAACTTTTTTTATAATTCTATTCAACAATCTGTGAATACTATTATTAGAAAACTGAATATCGGCTATTGTTCTTTAGTCAAGATATAAAGATAAGAAATTTTTATTTATATGCATATAAGTTCCATATAACTTCTAAAAGCTACTTTAACAATCTTTTATTGAATAATTTTTTTATAGCTTTATTACATCCTAATATGATAGATAAATGAATACTATCGATAAGATGATGTTTTGGAAACTGAATATCAAGGGCTACTCGCAGGCGTACATATAAATATGTGTGCCTCTCTATTACCATTGTTTATTAACCTAAGATTTCATGAATATAAACCTTTCTTTGATCAAGTATAATGGTAAGAAAGTTTTCATTCATGTGCATATAGTTCTATATGATTTTTTGAAAGCTATTTTAACAATAATTTTTTATTAAAAATTCTTATTACAAATATAGTTAGTAAATACTATCAGTAAAGTTCTATGTATAAAGAAGAAAGAAAACTCAGGATTTATTTATTTAGGCTTATGATATAATGCTAAAGAAGAAAACTAAACAAATAATACGTATATATATTGTTACATCAATTGTTAATATACAAAAATAGTTTAACATTAATGGAATATATCAAGTTATTAAATTACAATAGGACCTTTATTAGTTAGAATTAGATTTTATTATTCTATTTCTCCTGTATTCTATTTATTATCTATACTCATATTAATTCTAATTCTTAATTTATATAACTTTTATATTCAAGTGCAAATCTTGTGAATTAAAATGAATTTTGAATCATGAGTAATTTAGGAGAAAATAGACAGGGTAAGTGAAAAAAATTGATACTGTGTATATGATAGGCTATGTTTATGACAATTTTTTCTCTACAGGCTATTTACCTGGCATTACGCAAGTGGCAATTTACTAATAATATATAACTAAATGCTATTCTTAATCTCAAGTGATGT